ATATATCTCAGATACAAGTTTCAACAAATCTTTTACCAGAACTACTACCAAATGATAAAAACGAACGACTGGATTCCAAATTCTATTCTCTGAGGTTCCTGGAGCAGAGGTTATGGCAGTGAAGTGGTTGCAGAAAAGCTATTCTAATCCCATTGCACACTCAAACCATCCAGGGAGATCTTTGAATATATGGTGCTCACGCTCTACAACCGGAGATTCTGATTCAATTAGTCTAAAGTAGCATCCCCATATTGACACTCATTTTAATTTGAAGCCAACGATGAGAAAATCTAGATTACTTTTTAGTTGTTGTTAAAGTGCTAGGGATTGAACTCAGGGCTACATTCTTAGCTCTTGAAAAAAACAAATAAACTAAGTTCAGCCCACGCTGAACTCAAAGTTGGGATCCTTTTGCTTCAGCCTCCCAGAGTGCTGGGATTACAAACCTGGGCCAGCAAGCCTGACTGAGTTACTTTAAGGAACAGAATTCAAGAAAACAATCATTTTGACCTAGTAATTAGCTAAAGTATTTATAGGCTCAATTAGAGAGGGCCACAAAGAGACCTGGAAGCATCTGATGAGACCATTTCATCTAGCCCTGTATTTCAGTTTTATCTTTGTCCTTTACCACAGAAGCACTTAAGTTCCTCCATGCTGGGAAAATAAAGATAAACAAGACATGGATCCATGTTGCCAATCACTTTTACCTTGCTAGAGGCTTAAGAGAGGGAGGAACAGAGTCTCTAAGGAAATTTCAAAGAGTTCCATATACTTATTATAAGAGTAATTCCACATGAAACTGATATCAATTTATTCTCCCATTCCTTCCTAAAAAGCTAGATTAAAGCTTTTTTTTTTACCTTGGTCTGTTGCCAGGACTGTGATATTATATAAGTCATTCTTGGGAGCTGCAGCTTCTCTGTCCAGAATTTTGGAAAGTGTGACTAACCCTGAAGTTTCATCAATTTTTATCCACTCTTTAGGATCATGCAATTTTTTGTATCTGTTAATAAAAAATAAAAAGTTTTGGTATCATTTTAAAATAAGTAGCTCAATTGTGACCAATACATTATTAATTTATGGTTATATCTTTCTTTGTACCTTAGACCATTGCTATTTTTAGTTTCAGGGTCATATGCCTTATAACCATTGACCTTTAACCCCACTGCTGAGTTTTCCTTAATCCGCACATATTGAGCTGCAGGATCACATTCGGGCCCCTCATCCTGATCCCTCACATGAACTGTAACCAAGGCTCGGTTCATGGATGTCACTCTGGTTACTTCTCTAGTAAATGGAGCTTCGTTGTTTACACCAATTTCTAGGATCACTTGACGGTTTTCTTCATAATTCAGTGGCTTTAAAATAAAGGACATGTAAAGCATCAGTATAAAACACATTTGATATTTCAAGCAGCAAATGAACATTGTCAATTTGAACAGGCTTGCATAAATCATGTTCACATTTCATCACTGATGTCTTTATTCCTTGCAAGGACAAAGGTGATCCTTCGCTAGGGAGCCTTTAGCAAGAGTTGCCCCCCAAACCTTCTTCTGCAGGTGGTTTTACAGAGTGGTGGAAAAGAAATTCCTGAAATAGTTTATATTTCATTTTTACTAAGGAAAATTATCCGGAACACAGGAATATTGCAAAATGATGACAATGTGTAACAGGCTGGCCTCAAGGTCACCCGACTCTATAAGAAAACAACTTTAACTATTTACTCTGACTATGCCCAGGCACTTCACAGCTCCTGTAAAGTTAGATGTTAAACTTCAAAATGGAAAAAGCACAGTGATTTTATTTTCTGTCCAACAGAACAGATAGTCCAAATATCCCCTTTAATTATCCTCTAAAGCATCTACCTGAGCCATCTCATTTTAGCTTCTCCTTTAATCAAAATCCATCCAAGGTCTCACTTCTTAAGAATCAACTTTTGTCTTTTTGCTGGTTCCTTCATGAATGAGTTAAGTAAAACTTTTAGCCATGCTCGCTGCCTATTGTTATGAAAATCACATTTCTGACAATCTGCAAACATTACTTGGTCTACAGTTTATCCAAGGAAACTGTCATGGTGGGAACATGGAGGAGGAAGAGAAATGTGATGTGCTTAATGATAATCATCTTTAGATAAACAGACCTGCTGTAAGCAGTGCGGATAAATTTTGGAAACTTCCCACCTCTATGAGGTAGGTGTGACTGTCACCATCCCCATCTTATAGAGCAGGAAACTGGAAACGAGTGGGATAAACTGATTTTTCCTAAGGTCCAGTCATCAGAGCTGGAGTTTGAGGTCAGGTAGTTTGGCCTAAATCCCCCTCCTTAACCAGCATGACAAAATTCCTCTGCAGTGCTGAGCTGTCTAGCTGAGTCGCCAGCCTCTACAAAATTTTTAATCAACACTTAATCGTACTTGAATTTTGGAAGAAAATCCAGCAAAACCCATAAACACTATCTCATTTTACTGTAAAGTTGAAGTACATTTTCTCAGATTCTCTTTCTGATTCTTGAAACAATCGCTGGCTAAATATTGAATAAAATCAAAGTGGGTGAATAAAATTGCTTCAAACCTGTCCTTATATGTAGGTATTAGCAAATCAAAATATAAATAATCACGAGTCCTCTAAGAAGTCAAGAAAATTTCTGAATCTCAGAATTCACAAAATGTAAGTGAACCTTTGTTTTTTATGAGTATCCTAGAAACTGGAATGTCAAGAAGGAAAAGGTATTAATATCTGTTTACTTGATGCTGATGAACATCTTCTCACAAATTACACGTGTTGGTACAACCATGAACAGAGGAAGGGCAAGCGTTGGCCGGCTAGAAATACAAGGTACAGCTGTGGCACCCGAGGAGACACGGCTATAAGATCCAAGTCAACTTACTAGAGACAGAGTTTCTTTGTGCAATTTTTCAAGACTTAAAGTGGATATTGCCTTAGTTGCTTAAGACCATGGAAGATCAGAGATCTGGCAGAATGAAATGCCAATGCTTAAAGAATGGCTGTAATTCTTTTTCACTTCACGGTATGTTTTTGTTTCATCCCTTGAAAATATTGGTCAAAGCTCCCCATACCTGCACTGAGATGTTAACAGTTCCCTGCAAGATGGACTGTCACAGAGGTGGAACTGAGGGCCTGCATGCTGAGAATGGCCAAGGTCAGTACTAGCCTCACTCAGGCCCGTAGGCACCACTACCGCTGCGAAGACTGAGACAGAGAGGTTATCCAGGACTCGGCTAAAGGCTCTCCCATCTCATGCTGTATAGTTACAGAAAGCTTAATCTGTTATCTAGTCCATGAACACGGTATAACTTTTTAAAAATAAAATAATAGTTTTCTAAATGTTTTCATTTTTATTATAGCTGAAGAGCTCTTAGGGAGGCAGAGAGAAGTATTCCCATTTTACAGATAATATGGAAGCCAGCTTTCCCAGGTCACATGGCTAAGTGAAGCAATTTAACATAGTACTTCAGATCGTATCCTTGGAATCCGAGACCTAGGTTCAAATACTTCCTGTATTAGATCCTTGCTGTATGATTTGGAAAAGCTTCTTAATCTCTCTGAGACTTTTCTGTGCAACTTTGTAACAATGAGACTTAACACTGTAATAATATGGTTACTCATAATATTCTCAATAATATTTTACTCATCAGCTAAAAGAAATATACCTGAACAATTCTTGATTTAGCTTAAATCATTTAATCCTTCAGGATGTAAAAGGAAGAATACAGTGAACTCTGCTGAACACAACTCTGACTGACATTGAATAACAGGACACTGGAAGGGTGGAAATCCTTTAGTCAACACAATGCATCATTCTCTTACCAGACAGCAGCTTAGTCATCATGTGGTACATAGCCTATCCATTAGAAAGGTGGATTTTGTAACTGATTTTAAAACAAAAGATGCCTTACTGAGGTTTTAAAGTATTTAACTACAAAATCAAAAATATTTTCCCAAAAAAGGAAAAGGACACCTTCAAAGACCAGTGTAGGGAGCCACCAAAACACCCTGCGATGACTTTCAGTTTTCTAAGGTTTGGCATTAAACATGGGAAGGAAGACGTAATGTGGAAAACATAAATTATACTGATCAAAATCTTTATTAGTAATATGAGTGACACAAAAGAAAAGGTAAGATTATGCCCAGAAAAGTAGAAATTAAAGTTCTAATACAAGAAGATCCCCTTGTGCCAATGAAGTCATTGCTTTATCTACCCCAAGAAGCCAATTACAGAAAAGAGGAGAAAAAGAGGGAACAAAGGATACCAAGAAGGAAGAACAGCACAGGGATTTAGTAGGTTCTGTGCCAGGCAGGTGGGGTTTTCCATTGACTGTATGAACAGAGCTGTCTGTCCTGGACCCTTAGAGAGTCAACTGCCTGAATGTGTAGGGTGGGGGGTGGGAGAAGTACCCATCTTAGCTATGAGAACTGCAGCACATTTTGTCTTTTTCACTCAGCTGTCTTTATTGGAAATGGCAAGAAATAACAGTAACAAGCACCAAGGGCTGTTGTAAAGATTAAATAAATCTTTTAATTCAATGGTGTCAGCGTATTTGTATACTGTTTCAGAACATGAATAGATGAAGGGAAATAAATTATTTTTATGAAACAAACATAAAATTGATAGTGAAATTCAACAGCAATGGCACAAAAGAGCAAAATGATAGACAAATCTCATTTGTGGATATGGATGTAACTCAGGCACAAATTAGAAAATACTCAACGGGAAATAACTTTAAAATATAAATCTACCACATAAAAATAGACATGTCCTTGACTAAGCAATTCCCTTCTAGGAATTTATCATGCATTTAAAGCTGCATATTGTAAAATGGTATATATATATGGTTATTCATTTTAGCATATTTTGAAATCATAAAAAGATTAGAATTTCCATTGATATGACCTAAATTTCCATTTATATGGAAATGATCAAAAATATTCAATGTTCATACCATGAATATTATTCTACATAGCTATAAAAAATGAGAGAAATAGGGCCGAGGATTTAGCTCACTGACACCGCACCTGCCTGGCAAGCATAAGGTCCTGAGTTCAATCCCCAATACCAAAAAAAAAAAAAGAGAGAGAGAGAGAAATATTTACATCTATATGTAATAACCTCACAGATAAGCTAATAAGGTCTAAACTTCCATAGATATGTACAGGTTAAAAAAATGATAAGTCCATACCATAAACTGTGTAATGTAAACGTGAAATCTCAGAGATATGTTAAATGAAGAAAGGTATATTTGTTCAAAAAAAGAAACATGGTAAAATTACTTACACACATTTTTATATACACGAATTACTCTGGAAATGAGAAAATGATAAGATTTATTGATTCTTCGCAGAAAAACTGAGTGTTTTGAAGATCAGGATGAAAGTGGGATTATTTTTATTACATAGTTTAGGTTCGAACTTTGGTTTCTCTGAATAGGCAGCTACTTTCTCATCACTAGGACAAAATACCTGATACCCACAACTTAAAGGAGAGATTTATCTTGGCTCACATTTTCAGTTGATGGTGGCTGATGCTAAGGCAGAATGGCATGGCGGAGCGGATGGGGCAGAGGAAGAGTGCTCACATGGTGGTGGCCAGGAAGCAGAGCAGAGTAGGGAGGAGCAGGTAGAGAGAGGCAGCCTTCCAGGTCACACCCCCAGTGACCGCCTCTTCCAACCAATGGCCTAGCAGCAAGTCAGTGACAGCACCCACCCCCACATTCCAAACGTCTTCCAAAAACCCTCTGAGTTCATGAGAGTTTGGGGAGACATCCTGGATCTAAACCACAACAAGTGGCTAATTCAAACTTTAAATTAAAAATAAATAGCATATTTATTAATAAATTAAACAATAAATAACCTATTGACATTTGAAACACTCAAGTAAGCCACTGCATGCTAAGCACTTGACATGATATCTGGCACTTAGTAAATAATAAATGTTAGCCATTATGGTTTTTGTTGTTGTTTCGTGGTACTCAGGATTACACCCCAAGCTTTAAACTGAGCTACATCTCCAGCCCTCTTTTATTTTATTTTGATAAAAGATCTCACTAAGTTTCTGGGATTACAGGCATGTGCCACCACGTCCAGCCCCATTAATGTTCATGTTGATTAATATCCCGGTACGAACATGAAAGGGTAATTGAATTCTATGATAAGAGGCAGCAAATAAACACTGAGATATTGAATATGAACTCCTATTTGGGGTTAATGAGGCACAGCATGATATAATTGAAAGATTATTGACTTTGGAGCCATACAAATTAGATTTATATTCCAGGGTGGATAATATAGTAATATGCTTTACTTGGGAGAATGATGTACCTCCATCAGCTTTAGGTTGTATTATTATGATGATTATTGTTGTTGTTGTTACTGTCATTGTTACACACTAGGGATAATACTTTATCCTAAAGGAGATGTGACAATTAGGGCTGAGATTGTAGCTCAGTGACGGAGGTTTAGCCTGGCATGAACAAGGCTCAGGGTTCAATCCCTAGCACCAAAGAGAGAGAGAGGGAGAGAGAGAGAAGGTGTGATAACTAGATATACCTTATATCAAGTGCTGAGTATTATTTCCTGTGTCAGACAATCTGCCCGGTTTATGGTAACTACTTGCAAAATTTTTTAAATACTTAGAAGTATTTTCTATATGTAAGAACTAAGACGTGTGTGTGTGTGTGTTTACTGTAGTATTAGTTGAGCTCTCTACCACTGAGCTACAATTCCAATCTCAAAATTTTAAACATAAGTGAAACTACATAATGTTTAAAAATAATAAAAATAAATGCATATAGGTTTTACTGGAGAGAGAAAAAAATTTTATTTTTGTATCCTTCACATATAAAATCAGTTAAACTGAACCAGAAAGAAAGCAGGAAAGCATATAATCTAATTGTTGTCTATCTGGGGAATCCTGAGATGCTCACAAGAAATGAAATTGATGGTTATCAGTCACTTGGAATGACAAATATTCCAGGCTCTAAGCTATAATTTCTATGGACATCTAGGGGAAAAGGTGTAATATCTCTAGGATCAGAACTCCTTGAAAAAAAGAGGCATAATGAGTATGTTTACATATATTCAGTGCCTAGGCTTTTAAAAACATATATTCTTCTGAAATTATTTTTAGAAATCATTCTGTATTAGACAAAAAGCCTGTATCAAACCACAACACTACAATCAATAAATAAAACTTTCATTTCTAGTGTTATTGCCCCCTTAAGACAACTGTTGAGATTTAAAAATAAGAATAGCATTCATGATACAGTTTCTCCAGATGGGCCCTGACTCACTTTGATTGAGAGAAACTTACAGAGTACCCTGCCTAGATCCACATTATCAAACACCCAAAAAGTCAGCTTTTCAGATTCAGGGTTTTCTCAGAAGCTACAAAAGTTTTCATCCTTTAACGGCATTGTCGGCCTAGAAGTTCAGAGCAGTTAACCTCCAAGCAATGGAATGTGGGTGTCAAGAATGAAAGTTGACAGATAAATGCCCCAGGTGCCCATCTTTGAGCAGATAATGCTACATAGTTCATACTACAAGTAGCATATAGCATGTTCAGTGACAGAACACCCAATACTTCACACACGATCGGCTATTCATCCTTCTTGGTCTTACTTCCTCATTTTCACTCTGGCTTCCTAGGATCCTCTGCTCTAAATATCTACCTACACCGAAGTCCTTATGTTGGCTTGATTTTCTGGAGAATTGGAATGAAGAGTGGACCAATAAAGAGGGAAGATGATGAGTACTATTTTCTTTCCTCTAACTCTCAATAATAAAATTTCTTTTCCTTCTCCTTCTCCTCCTCCTTCCCCTCCCCCTCTCCCTGCCCCTGCTCCTCTTGCTCTTCCTTTTCCTTCTTCAGTAGCTAGTATTAATGTTCAATTCGAGCAGGTCATATTATAAAATACTGAAATAGTAGAAGTTTGACATGGAGATTCTCTATTTGACTATGTACATCTGGATAGAATGTGATAGTATTTAGAATTCTGGATAGAACATAGATAGTATTTAATCTCTGAAAACTCTCACAGAGGAAACAATTACAAATAGAGAGGCCTACGTACCAAAGATGCCACTATGTTATTATTGACAGGCAATTCTCTTTTATTCCATGAATGACCACTATACTTGCCCAATATTCTTTTTTGTTCTAGTCTGGAAATATAAAACCAAATGTCCTTCTCAAACAAATCCCATCCTTACCTCATAGCTGGAAGCCTAGGATGTAATAATGAAACCAAATGTTCAGTATAAAGAACAAAGAATAAGTATTCACTGCTGTCTGATATAATACTATTTCATCCTCAAAATTACCCTTTGAAGGGTAATTCCTTAGAAAGGTAATTCCTTAGGAACAGACACAACCAGGCACATATTCTAGAGAGAATGAGAAGACTGTGGAGTTCTCAACTATATTATCCAAGGATTAAAGGGACTGGGAATATATCCTAGAGAAGGTAGTCTCAAATGGACACAACAGAATTTCAAATAAACTGTATCCATTCCAAATAGAGAGAGTACAGGTAGAATCAGGATCAAAGACATGGAATATAAGGGGAATAACTTGTACACAGTAGAAGCAAGAGCCTCTAAGAATCCGCACTCTCCATATGAAATAAGCTGCCAATGGAGATGTAAGAATTCTTGTAAGTAAAAATGTTGCGGGGAGAAAAGAATGTTTAAGCATCGCTAGAAGAATACGAACTGGCAATAAAATTGTGGATGAGCATTAGATGAGAACAGATATGTTAAACTTAATAGGTTTTAAATTCTCTTTCAACTTGTAGAGTCCATGATCTGAAATTAGTTTATTAAATCATTAGTTCACAAAAATATATTAAGTTGCTAAGTTATTAATGATTTGTTCTTACCTTTACAACATACAAAATACCTTCATTAGTTGCTTTCTCTGTGCTAATTTTGAAGTGTCCATTTTCATTTCCCTTTAAAATGGTAAAATTGGCCCTCCAATTGGCAGTGTTTATTAAATCCTTATCTTCTATAGGAATTCGTAAGATTTCCACATTATATGCATTTTCCTCTACTGATGTTTCGTACTGAATGAAAAGGAACTCGTTAAAAATTGCCTTTATAAAGAAAACTTTTCCAAACAAAGTAAAAATGCTGCTTTCACTCCAAAAGTTATAGTCTTATAGTTTTCACATAGATGATTTTAAAGTTATGAATCACAAACTGTATCATTTCATTAAATATTATTCTTTTTTTTTTCTTTAGTACTGGGGATTGAAGCTGGGATATTCAAACTGAACCACATCTCCAGTTCCTTCTCAGTTTTTTATTTTGAGCCAAGATCTCACCAAGTTGCCCAGAGTGAACTTAAATCTTGTGATCTTTCTACCTCAGCCCTCTAGGCACAAACATGCCTGTCTCATTAATTGTTGTCTTTTAAATGAAAGAACTTCCCTACAAATGAAGGCTCTATTGTTAATAACCTTTAAAAAGACATAGATAATAGAAATAATAATATGAACCAAAAAAAGAGATTTAGCCAGACCTGATGGAGCATGACTATGATCCCAGCACTCTGGGAGGCTAAGGCAGGAGGATCACAAGTTTGAGCCCAGACTGGGCAACTTGGCAAGTTAACAAGACCTTGTCTCAAAATTAAAGAAAATAAGGCTGGGATCTAGCCCAGTGCAAGGCCCTGGGTTCAATCCCTAGTACTGCAGAAAGAAACAGAATTTTGTATAATATATAAATATAAATTTTAAATTACAATAAATGAAAATTACAGTAAATAAATTACAATAAATTCATTAATCCAGATTAAATAATGAATAAAAATAGACATGGATAGATTCTGATATTGTATACTTACAGCATTTTGTCTAAATGTGGGTGCATTGTCATTTGAATCCTTCACTGTTATAATACAAGTTGATGTACCCGCCAATCCAAAAAATTGACCATCCATGTCTTGAACTTTCATTATCAATGTATACTTATCCACAACCTGAAGACACAGTAAATATTTAATTAACCTTGAACACTTGTTTAGATTCATAAATGAAACCCCAATTTCACACTCCTCTTTTTTTTGTGTACACATTTTTATATGATTTCTCCATTTGTTTATACTCCAAGAATTTGCTTGAGAAGGACAAAGCTGAAAAGGTAGACAGAGGTTATATCACAAAGAGATGTACTAAGAAATCAGATGTATGCCTGAACAGCCAACAGGAATAAGATTATGAGAGGGAAGCATAAAAGAACACTTGAGTTTTAAAAAGAATATTCTTAAAGAGATTGAGAATAATTTTGAGTGAGCTAAGTGAAGATTCAAAGCAACCAGTTACAAAGATCCTACAATAGTCTAAGACGTGATCTATACTTGAGGCAGTAGCAAAGAGAACAAAGAGAAAAAGTGACAGAAAAATTACTTGGGAGTTAGAATGCAGCAGGACTTAATAGAGTCTATGTACAAGTTAAGAGAGAAAGAAGAGTTGAGTATGATGCTCAATTGTCCTAGATGTATTGGTAGACAGGGCTATCACCAACCACATAGGAAATATAAAATGAGAGGATTTTCTGAGGAAAGAACATTACATAAGTTGGCATGGAGGGGTGAAAACATGAGTTTTGTCTTTCATATATTAAATTTTAGGTATCTAATAGAAATATAAGGAAAGATATTTAGAGGTATGTGGGCATATGAAAAGAAATAGCGAACACTCTTAATGGACAGATCATGGCCAGAAATACCAATCTGGGAGTCAACAGTATGTGCATGGTGACTGAAATTACGGCAGGAATCAGACCTCTGGGCGAGGGTAAGAAAAGCTGAGGACATACAGAAGAACAGCATTTCAAGCATGGGAGAAAAGAAGATTAAAGAATGGATATTTAAAAAGAAAGATCAGAGAAACAAGAGGAGGACTAGAAACCTGAGAGAAAGAGGAGTTTTCCTAAGTGCCAATGATAGACAGGGATATGAGGCAACTGCTTGATTTGGCAACAAGAAGTCACCACTGACTTCCGTTCATGGTGTGGTAAGGGTAAAGTAGAGCCAGTAGTTTGTGATAACAATCATCACTGTTGCCTTTTTCTTTCATTATGCTATCCTTTTGCCACTTATTTTTGTTCATTTTCCATGCCCCATTGGCCTTTAGTCCATCCCTCTGTCTACATTTACTTGGTCTCCCTTTCACATTGTAAATCAACATTCCCAACTATTCCCATAGACTTCAAGGCTGATACCATGTGTTTTTCTTCACTTAATTTATTACTTTTTCCCCTGTGTTCATTTCTTTACTTTATGTTGTTCTCTGCCACACATTCCATGGTTGTTCCACTAGGTATTTTTTTCCAACAAGCAAATAGACCTGGATTTGTCCTCAAAAATGTAACATCCAAGTCTTGTAATATTAAATTATTTAGTTTTAATCTGTTACAAATGGGGGAAATCTCTGTTTTTACTTGACTATCATGTCTTCTCTACATTCACCAAAGATATGAAAACATTCATACTGTGCCCTTCAAACTTTCCCATTTCTTATTTTTGGTACGTGTTTTATTACATAAATACTCTGATCCTACAAAAATTAAAATAATGACAACTAATAACTGTACTACTTTTGATTCCTTTTTGTAGATTCCCACCACCTTTCCCTTTTTTCTTTGGCATAAAATTCCACTGATTCTTTTTTATATTTTTCCCACCCATGTCAACCTTTCTATTTATATTATTCTAATTGTAGGGGGGCAGTACAGCGTTCCAATAAACCTATTTTATATGTATGAAATTGATTCATCTGCCTCAGTTAGTAATGTAGATCTATGAGTTAAAGGTAGGCTGGCAAAATGGGCAGAGAAACAATAACAACAAAATATTAGAATACTCTGTGGAGTAATTTCACTTGGGTGAATCAATCAATCTTTCCAACCATTACATTTCTCCTCTCTAGATCAGGTATATAGAGTCAAAGAAGAAAATTATAAAATCCAAATAAAATTATGCATAAAGAATTTGAACACAAATTATTGATACATGACACTATGCTATTACTATCTTCCAAAGAGCGCTACAGTTTTTAAATAATTCATCAATTGTAACATAACCAATTCTTTTCTGATAAAAAGTACGTATATCTATAACTTAATAAAGACCAGGAATAATATACACTTGTGAAGTGAGCAAAACTTACTGTTCGCCATGAGAATTGAAACCTTTATTGAGCTGAAACCAATTAGCCACACCCAAGAAGTGAAATAAAATAATACTCGATTAATAATAATTTCCATAAGAAATATTTTTCCCATCCTTTCTAAACACTTTTTGAGCTGTATTTCTGGTCTTTATGGCTCCTCTGACACAAGAAAATAGAAATAATGTTTTAAAAAATGAGGAAAAATGCCTGGAATTCTTACTGTTTTATGCCTTATGTAAAATAAGAAGTTTTTGATCCATAAGATAGCAAATTACAGTACGTGGGGCCGTGGGACTCAACCTCCAAATGACATTTTACGGAGTGGAAGTTACCTCTCTGTCCAGGTAATGAGAGACTGTGGTGATTACGCCCGTGTTGGGCTGCACAGAAAAGAGCCCCGGTGACCTTGGTGTCTGCTCCAAAATGCTGTACTTCAAGCGTGTGTGCATCGTGTCTGGTTCATCTCTATCTGTGGCACAAACCACTCCCACTGTAGTTCCTATGCATTTGAAAAAAGAATTTTTAATCTCCAGAATTGCAAAGTATATTTAGACTTTAGCTATACTTTGTAAATTTCAGCAATGATGCTGGAAAAATTGTACTTCTTACTAGAGAGATGACTTCTTTCGATAGGCCTGCTGAAGTCACCCTCAAATGTATAATACAAAACATTCTCATGCTGAGGACCCAGATACACTTGTATTCTGCTCACAGTTAAAATGTTTAATAGTAAATAGCTAAAAACAATTAATTAAAGACAATGGAGAATGATTTTAATATAAATTTCCACACATTGCAATAATAAACCTAGCTTGAGGGATAAGAAATTCAGAATTCTTTTTAAAATGGACTTTTGATTAATAGCTAAGTCTAGACGGGTTGGGATATAATTGTATAGATGGTCAAGTAGGCCTTTAATAGCCTCGTCTTTACTCTCTCCTTTCTATGATGTTTTTCTCTCCGCTTCTTCTTTTTACTTTTGCTAAGTTCTGATTTGATTTATTGTGCTTCAGCAGCTTAGCATCACAGCCGTAACTGGTCAGAACCTGTGGATGTAACATTTGTCAAGTCCCGGGGGTCAATAGGGCCATCAAAGACTTTGTTCTTGATTCTTCCCTGGTAGTACAGAAGGAAACAGAATCCTCAAGGAAAAAACTCTGGGACCAATCACCCCTCTTTGAAAAAGGAAAAATGTAATAGAGTCATAGAATTCTAAATCTAAAAATAGATAGGTCATCATTGTAATTGATTCCCTTTACAGATAAGAGAATTCCAAGGGGGCTAGGGATTTAGCTCAGTGGTTCTGCCACCTGCCTCACAAACTCAAGGACCCAAGTTGAAACCCTGGTACCAAAAAAAAAAGAATTCCAAGTGACTTTCTTAAGTTCTCACAATGAATCAATAAGAGAACCTGCATAAAAAGCAGGTTACCTAACTCCAAACCAATGATTTTTCTTTTTTATACCTGTAAGTAAAGAGGTTAATATTGGTATAATCAAGTTGTCAAAGTGAAATGTAAAAAAGAGAAGCAGATATAAAAATGCAGTGAAGAGCTAAGTAACTTGTAGGAATCTCAGTAGGAAAGTTACCAAAGTTATCTTTTGTGATTGAGTCTACAGTCTTCTACTTTATTGTGGGTGCTTAGTCTTCATGTCACAAGTCTCAGAAGACACTGTGAATGCCATGCTCCCCAACCAAGTAAACTGAACTATTTTGGTTTTCCACATGTGAGTAGTGTTCAGGAGTTTCATGAGTTTCTCTGAAGTTACTGTAGGATTTATTCTAAATCACATAAGTGAAGTAGTAGTTTTGCAAGAAGAGACAATATGAAAAAGTGACTAAAAAACTGTATCCTCAGTGAGCATCATGGAACAGCTCTCTAAGTAAAACCTCATTAAAATGCCTATACTGCTTTGTAATTCTATTGTTCATTTGATCCTTCAATTTTTTTCTTGGAGGTGAGAATGATAAATCCACATAAGGAGAAAATGAAATAAACTGCATAAACAAAAGAAGGTACCAAGCTTCAGTGACTGTTTCCTGCCACCACAGTTAATTAGTATCATATTGACAATGCCTAAAATTCCTGTAACACCCCAGATGGTACATGTTGATAAGAATTGATGAAAGTAAATGTTTTCTAATAAGTAGATAGTAGGCCAGAATTATCTCAGAGGACTTGGCCACAAGTATAAACACCCCGATGTCTCAAAAAATATACATAAACATATTTAACATATAAATACCCTTACCAAGTCTACTACTTTCTGGAACTTCAAAATTAAAAATTGCTTCTGTGAAGACAGGATGGTTATCATTTTCATCCTCTACTCTGATGGGCAGTGGAAGAGGTAAATCTGCTGAATACCCATCAGCAGTGGATGCATAGGCAATCAACTGCAAAATAGGCAAAAACAACCTCTGTTAATATCCAATTACAGCAAAAGGAGGACAAGTTGCTCTACTATATGCCCACTGCTGATTAATCAAAGGCAATATAAGGTCAAATGGAATGTGTTTCTATTCAGGATGTCATGACAATGCTGAGTTGAACATTTGCTAACCAGAAGTGGAATATAACATAGGGAACATCAGTCACATTTGTTTATCCCCCATCTCTTTCCTGTTCTAGAAACAGAATCTTTCTCCAATAGAGAATCATTCACCCCGAACCACAGAGAATGTACATGGTATCATAGAATTTACTGTATCACAGTGAAGATTGTCAGTTATTCCCTATTGACTATAAACTCATGCAAAGCAGAATGCTGGCTTGCTAGCCTCTTTTTGGACTTAGTCTCCCACTTTTATTTACTCATCAGAAAATCATACATTGAAAGATGACCCCAAAAAAAGTAGAGCAGTAGAGAAATAGGTTCTTGTCAATTAAGTATGGACATATCCTGGAGTAGTAGTGAGTAGGGACAGAGAAAGTATCTCATAAGCAAAACTATTTTCTTTAAAATGTTCTGGAATTTATGTTCAACATTAAACCTCTTTGCTTCATTTTAGGCTTACCTAACAAAAGTTGAGCTAAGGAATTGAACAAGCATTCCAAATTGTCACAACTCCATTTTCTTTTGACTTTAAGATATCCTTTAAGAATAGCGTGCAAGAAGACAGGAAATAGTAGATGGAATGAGTATAAGAAGAAAGACAGTTTAATAATATAAAGTCACTTTCATCAACAAAACTCTTACATCAAAAACATCATATTCCTCACGATCCACAGGCCGAGTACAATACAGATTTCCAGTGTCTCTTTCTATGAAAAACAAATTTAAAGGTTCTTGGTCAACACCACGTCCACTTATTGAGTAGAAGACAGTATAGTTCTGGGCTGCATCAGATTGAACCTAGAAAGAAAAATATATATGTAAAGAATTAAAATTTAATTCAATGAAAATGCTGGTTTTTTAAAAATTCAGTTTTTCTTAAAATTTTAAAAAGAAAATTTCAACAGTATAGAATAATAATAACCATTATTAGAAAAAATGAAGCAAACAGAGATTCTTAAAATGCTGTGAGGAAGGTCAATTAGAGTGCAATTTTGGGACGACTAACAAGAAAAGAATGGGCCATGCGAAAGAATAGGGAAGGCTCTTCCAGGGGAAGAGGAAACAGGAAGTGCAAGGAAACTTCCTAGGAGAAACAGGAAGGACAAGGAAATCAGATGACAGTAGTGGTGGGAGTCTTCCAAGAGCCACAAGGAAACCACTATTCTTGGAGCAGAAAGAGCCAGGAAAAAAGTAAGTGATGAAGAATTAATGAGGCCTAAGGGCTAAGTCATATATGTGATTCCAGGGAAAAGCTGGAGCTAGAAAGCCACTGAGAATTTACACAGGGTAGCATCGTGTGAGGTTTTTAAACCCTTCTTAATTTAAAACTATTTAACTGATGAATGTTATCATTATGGATATCTTAAATGTAGCAATAAATGTTTTGCTTCCAAAAATCCTATTTAATTGAGTATATACAAATAAATCTGTGCATACTCAAAATGATGATCTGTATATATACTATATATATATATATGCTCTGTGTAATGATTATCACACGTTAGCACAACAGTCATCATACAGTAGACTTCTAGAAATTGTTCATTTTATAACTGAAAGTTTGCATCATTTGGTTAACATTTCTTTCCTCCACCTCTTAAGGACTGGTAACAACCATTTTATTATTTCTATGGTTAAATTCTTTTAAAATCCACATCTAAGTGATATTATACAGTACTGTATTTATCTTTCTGTGTACGACTTATTCTTATTGTAAAGTTTTCCAGCTTTTTCCATGTTGTTAAAATGACATGAATTCCATTTTATTGGTGTATGTATGTGTGTAAGAGATAGAGAAGAGAGGGAGAGAGAAGAGAGAGGGAAACTGATTTTATGCATTTATCCATTAATGGACACTTCAGTAGTTTCCATATTTTAACTATTATGAATAATATTGCAATAAAATAGGTGTACAGATGTCTCTGTGACAACTAATTTAATTTCCTTTAGATGTACAGATATTCCTCATTTAAAGACCTAACTGTGTAACAACTGTTCCAATTTAGGATGAAGGCATGCTGTTTGAATTTAGGACCCATCACTGGGTCTTATAACCCGAATTTGGACTTAAGATGCAGGAACATGACCAGCAGTGTCAACTTACGGTGGCTTCTACAGTACTGCACTATAATTTTTGCTGATTATACTGTATATTAGTGTAGTTTTATATTGTTATACACTAACGTATTACACATAAGAATTATCCAAATAAAAGCAAAGTCCTCAAGTTGGAGTTTCCTTTGTTCTAAATATTATAACATAAATAAAATTCCTCACTTAGTGACCAGTTCAATTAACAACCTAGTTGCAGAATCATAACTCTGTCATTAAATGAGGAGTGTCTGAATATCCAGTAGTCAAATTGCTGGATCATATGGTAGCTTCACCTTTAAATTTTTTAAGAACTCCATACTGTTTTTCATAATCATGCACCAATTAATATTCCCACCAACAGTATACAAGGGTTCCTTTTCTTCACACCTTTGCCAACACTTATCTCTTTTCTTTTTTAGTAGTAGCCTTCCTAATAGGTACAAGGTTAATTTCTCAATGTGGTTTCCCCTTGTGATGATTAGTGATATGACACACCTTCTTATGTACCTGTTGGTCATTTGTGTGTTTTCTTTGGAAAAATGTCTACTATTAAGTTGCCTTGACCAGTCATTCACCTGATTATTGTATTTATTTATTTATTTATTTATTTAGGCGAGTTCTTTGTTATTTTGGATATTCACCTCTTACCACACATATGATTTATAATTTTTTCCTTCATTATGTAGCCGACTTTAAAAGGAATCTGTATTTTGCATATATTTCAAAGAGGTGACTTTTATATTTTAAAAAGCTATACTTTTATGTTTTAAAAGAGCAAGACTTTGATTTATTCTTAACAAAAATTTCCCTTGGCTAAGGAAAAAAGCAGGGAAACCATTTAAAAAGAGGCTTCAAATATTGAGAGGAAAGAGAATAACTCTAAAGACTAACATGCAACCAGGCAGAGTAGTGAGAGGCATTTAGGTCCTGGATATAATTTAAAGATTCGGCCAAAAGGCTTTGTCAGAGGATGGATGTGTGGTGAAATATAGAGTCAAGGGTGATGCTATATTGGAGGGTACCAGCCTCCCACTGCTACTTAGGATCTTAGTAAAATACAGAGATACTAATATCATATAATAATCAGAAATTAGAAGCTTAACTGTGAGAACAGACGGACAGGGCAAGTGGGGCTCAACACTGATTTCATGTTCTACTATGTCCCTCATGGTCTAGATGCTAGAAGGATTCAAACAAAACCAAACACAAAATGCAAAATTTTCCAGAATCTCTTCTTTGATTTATTAGTACGTGTTTCCAATACATAATGAATATATTCATCATGGGAAGTTGGTACGTATACCTATTACATCTTAATCCTTTTTACTTCACTCCCCACCTCTTCCCCTTTCCCTCCATCCTTAGATCCCTTCCCATCTTTAAAAGGTCTTCTTCCCTATTTCCTATTATGTATCCAGGATCTCTTGAAACTAGGGTTCTGGATTTATGTACATACAGTCAAATGTATTTGCACAAGATTTGAAAGTCATAACTGAAACAGATGTCTCATTTGGACAGCTTTTCTGTTTTGCTGGCATCACAATTTAGTTGTATTTGTTCCTTTTCTCTTGTTTTAGGTTGGGTTGGGTTTGGGGAGCAGCAAATGTTCTAATGGTTACTCACCAACTTTGTAGGTGTTGAGAGATAGGGACTGGGTCAGTTTTTTGCTGGCACCACTTGGAACAATTGAGAGGCTGATGTAGAGTCACATGAGGAGGCACAGCCTCTTGACTGTGGTGTTTTCCTGACTATGGTAGTGGCACTTTGGTTTGGCATCAATGTTTACTATGGAGAAAGCACTATGTCCCTTGGTCATGGGTTCTGTGGTGCTGCTAGCTTGCAATTTGTTCCTTAAAAGTTCAAACTAAAGTTTGTTTCTTCAGCCCTTCCAAGAATTCTGTAAACTATTTTATATGCTGTAATAGTCTATGTCTGTTAGCTACATAGAACTATTCTATGTATGACCAAAACCTTAAGAAACATTCAAATGTCCAAATAGCAAGAAGTACAGAAGAGGAGAAAAACACAGCATTCAAGTTCTGTAAGTCTGAAATGTCTGTTAAACTTTCATGTGCAAACACCAATTAAGAAGTGTGAGTTAGAATTACGATGTCTCAGATATCCAGTGGGAAAATGTACTTAGACCAATCAGGCAGGACATGATTGATGAAGCGGACATACAAATGAGCAAGAAACAAGGTTCAAGAACTGAGCCCTGGACTTCTCCAAAGTTAGAGACTGAGGGAGGAAAGACCAGGAAAACATATGTGGCTAGTGAAGAAAGTGGAAAACTGAGCAAATGGCTTCCTAGAAGCCAAGTAAGGAAGGTATTCAAGGAAGAGAGAAAGGTCAAATATACCAAATGTGCATGAGTCAAGGCAACGAGTACTGACAGGTAGTAACTGATTTAGCAACTGCAATGGAAAAAATTATGTGTGAGCAGTGCAAACTTGATGATCAGAAGTCGTTTCTTAATATACCTCTTTAGTGTTTAAAGTACAATATTTATGAAGAAATAGCAAGGTCCTAGTAGTACTGGACAGAATACGAAACAAGAAGCCCAAAGATTTCATCATCAATATTAAACAGTATCCACTATGATAAAAATTTAAGAGGAAGAAAGCAAAAACAAGGGAAGTTTCCCTCATAACACTCCTCACTAAGTTCTGTCATCATTTGCCCATTCCTACTTCCTTCACTGAGCTCAAAAACCATATGAGAGCAAGGCCTGGGTCTAAATTTATTCCCATCTTCAGTGCTCACAGCAATGTCTACCACAGAATAAGGTAGGTGCTCAACAACTGGGCAAAATGAGAGAATAATAATAATAATCATTCAATGGCTGGAGAGCCTAATCTTCTATCATTAGTATCTTAGTAATTTTCTTTTTCCCATTTTACTCTTTTATTGCACATCATGACCATCTTCAATCACATTTGTTTTTCAAATACTTAAAAAGTTACTAAACCTGAAAAAAGACTCTTAGAATTAAAGCATTCCAATCAGAATGAATGTAAACCTACTTGTTGAAGAAGCAAAGGGAAAGGGCCCAAGGAATTCTCTTGCATCGAACAAGGAATAGGTGCCCATCTCCTCTTGGATCTCCTGAGAACAGTTTCTTTAATGTTTCTTTTCTTCAATATCTGGATTCAGAGAAAGAAAAAAATAAACAAAATATCATAGTCTACTTTGTTGTAAAACAATGAGCAGCTTATAAACCTAACATCCCAATAGCAGCTCAGTCTTAGGAACTTCCCATGCTGAAATTAAAACCGGTTAATAAAGTTTTTTTTGCATTAGACAGGTAAGAAAGGACTTTAAACATCTCATAAGCCATAAGATTTTCTTTTATATACCTTCTTAACACTGTCATGTTTTCAGGTTAGGAAAACCATCACTGTGCTCTTAGCTCTTCTTGTTCTGCTCTAGATAGAGATAGCGAACACATTCCCTCTGAAACAATCTCCGCAGGACACGTACCTCTTCTCTCTGCTAATCCTTCCACTCTCAGGTGAACCAGAGGAAGGAAATGCATATCCTTTATGGCCTTATCTGCCTGCACTGTGCAATATGGTAGCCACTGGCCACCACTAGCCATGTGATTATTTGTGTTAACTATAATTAAATGAAATGAAAAGTTCTACCTTTCAGTTGTACTAACCAAAAGCCAAGTATTCAGCACACATTAGTATTGGACCACCATACGAAACAGTGCAGATTACTGAACATTTCTGTCATTACAAGAAGTTCTGTCAGATTTTTTAGTGATGGCCATTTTGTTTCATGTTGTAACAAGGAAGAAATTTGACTTTGTGACACTTGATTAATAAATATCTTTATTAAATGCTTAATAAAATGCTAAGCAGTCATTTTACATTAGCTTTATCACTTAATGTAGATTAGGTATAATCCAATCTAAACCATTCATCATTTTGTGACTATTTTCATAACGGAATCCCTCATGATCAATAGTTCATACTGATGGAAAAACCCTAAACATTGAAGAACAGCTACCAAATGACTCTGGCATACAAAAGCCATTAGCTAGAATTTAGGGATGGAAGAAACCTTCACAGAGGAGATGTCATTTGAATTTTAAAAAGTAAAACTGAAGCCAGTATTTAACTAGAGTTTAGAAAGAGAGGAAGGAAGAAAAGGAGAGAGAAGAAGAGAAAGAAGGGAAGAGAAAGAAAGGAGAGAAAAGAAGGGAGAGGGGGGGAGAATGAGGCAAAGGGGAGAAAGGGAAGGGACGGGGTCCATTCACAAGGATCCTTGGATCCTCTGCAATCGTTAGGAAGAGCATTTTAGTGGAAAGAAATGCCTGAGCATATTCAGTGCACTCTGAATACCTTCTTCTGGTGTTCCAGGACCACAGTTAGCTCTTTCTGTGTCTGTGTCTCCGTATCAGAAAGCTGTATGGTGAATGTTCTTCTCTCATGAGACAGCACAACAGCTCTGGCTGTGTACACTGACCCGTCCCGTAGAACGCGGAAATCGGGATCACGTGACCGGATGAGGTCTGCAGACCTGAAGCACTCTTTCCAGTTAACTGCAAGTAGGAATTTCCCGGTTGTTAGGCAGAAACACATACAGAAAGGGAAAGAGTTAAAATGATATAAACAATCTTCTTCAAAACTGTGAAGTGAAATAATATAAACCAATAACTTTGCATTGACCCAATATCTTAACCACTCCTTTCACATTATTTTTAAAGGATAATTTCCTTTCAGTAAAACAATAATTATCGACTGTATATTTCTATAGGAGAAGGTGTTTTACACCTTAACAGGCTTCTAGCAGGCTTATGAAAGTGACCTTCCCATTACAGTGGTGTGGGCATTGAAATCATGACAAAGTTGAGTACACGCCCCCACATACACCTGAATAAACACAGAGAAGTTTTCCTTAACAATACTCTGAGTCTTTTGGGAGCTGTCCGTCTTCATCCAGAAGTTATGCACAGGGACACAAAGAACAGTGAAGGGAATGAATTAGGCAAGTGGTGAAGAAAAATTGACCTTTGAATTCTTCCCACTGGTACTTTGCTGTACAATTTCTCCCTATAGACAAGACACTAAGTGTGTTCCTAGCCTTTCAGGGCCCCGCTGAAACCCTACATGAGGTCTTTCCTCTCTTGGACTTTTGCTCTCTCGTAAAAGATCCTTGTTTTAAAGCCTCAAAATATGACATTTTCTAGCAAGGCGCAGCCTGTCTGAATCTAATGCCTGGAATAAGCAACGTAAACACAGTGACCATGGGGGAGCTGCCAACAAACTCATGGCCAAGCCAGCCTTTTGTGGGAACTCTCAAAAGAAGTCTGACAGCCCAGAGCTTAGAAAGGAAAGCATGAGTCCATGCCAGCACGGCCCAGGGAGCATGGTGTGGGCTGGGCACCCTCCGTGAGGCTGACCTGCTTCATCTTCCTGGGACCAGTGGCTAGGATGGCTTCCCACCCTGGAAAAGAGATCAGAAGCTGAGCAACTCAGTGCCAGCTGGAGGAGGGACTCCACCCCAAGGCAGGGAAGGAAAACTTTTAAGTACACTGGATTTTGTGAATAACTTAAAAATAATGGCCTTGGGAAATCAGGGTGAATCCCTGGGTTGAGCTGGTGCTGGGAGTCACACACTTTGCCTGGGCGCACAGCCGGCCTGCCTGTCTCCTATGGGAAAGAGATGCTTCCAGGAGGTGTTCACGTCTCATCTTTCCACAGCCAACAGGTCACTTCCGTAGACATCCAGAGGCCGATTGGGAAAGTAAAGAAAGACGGGGAGAAACTGGCTGAATTCTCGTGACCAGACAAGCTTATTAGAGAGGTGGAGTGGACAAGGAGCTGAGAGGAAAGATGTGAAAACTAAATGGAAAATAGGAGCAGGAACTGCTGGGGAATCAGAGAGGTGAGGCTTCTGGAGAGAGGTTCACCAGAAAAGATCTTTTAGGTTTCTCTGCTTGTCTCTTAATACAATCCCATCCTTACCAATGCCCTTGTAATACCCAAACTGCTCTTTATGAAACTCTTTTCATGAGAAAATAAAGTAACAAGATATATGTTTCCACCCTATTCTTCACCTATGTGCTTTTTCAGAAAACACACTCATAATCCTCAAGTAATCATCTGCCAAAGGATTCATATGGTACACACGGATGTTACTATCACCTTAATCCAAATCTGTTACATGTGGAAATATTTAGCCAAAGGAGGTGTACATTTTTAGAGATGATGACATATGCCTTTATCTGCATATTGGATTGTGCGAATACCAATTTCTGTTTTAACTCCTGGAGAAGCACATCTGACCTCTCTTTACATCCCTTCATTTTATCCCTCTCCACAGGAGTTAAAGCATCTTTGTTTAATAAAAGTAGCCAAGGCACTTTGAAAAGAATGGGACACTTTGTTGAAAAAGTAAATTTGATATCTTTGGAATAAATCATACTTCATAGAAAAAAACTATGATAATTTCTTCCAATATTCCTGCACCTACACAGAAAGCCCACTGGGCAGAGCTTTCCAGCTGTTGAAAAGTCTAGGTTTCCTCAGCTTCTCCACATTCAGTGTGCTGATTAAGTTTAGTCTTTGAATGAAATGGCTCGTCTTGTTGTGGTCCTCAATGTAGCTATACCATTGATAAAAATACTGCTGATTCTCTCCTTTCCTTATCTATATTTCCCTAATGTTTAGAACCCTAGAGGAGTAAGAGTGGTACATGTTATATGTATTCATTCAATTTTCAAACTGTTCAATCACAGATGACTACAAAAACATCAAGTGTTAGAACATTTGCACTAGAATCAACTACAAAATTCAACAGAATTATAAAGAGCAAAAAATACACATTTAAAATAATCTTGCATTGTTTCTACTTATAAGCAGATTCAAGCCAACTCTAGAAGGCAAAGATCATATATAATACAAGGTAAACTAAATTTATTCTAAACTAAATGTAGAAGGAGTATTATGAAATTTCTCACCTCTGCCAATCAGTTTGTCTGCCTCTAGTTTAGAAGGTACATTTAACATCACATTTTTACAGGCTTCACCAGTAAAACTGAAGAACTAGAATTTAAAAAAAATCATATTTATGCAATAGAAAACAAAGAACAAAAACCACATGATCATCTCAATAGATGCAGACAAGTAATTGACAAATTCTAATACCCATTTATAATTAAGTCCAGATTTGGAAGGAAGAAATAAAACTATCTCTATTCACAGATGACATACTCTTTTTTGTAGAAAGTCCTAAGGAATCCATTAAAAGAACAACTCAAACAAATCACCCCAGGAAAGCTGCAAGAAATAAGACAAACATACCAAAAAGAAATTATTGCATCCCTGTACATTATCAATAAAAAAACTAAAAATAAAAATAAGTAAACAATCCCATCTGCAGTAGTATCGAGAAGAATAAAAAATTCTGAATAAATTTAGTCAAAGACATAACAAGATCATACACTAAAAACAATAAGACTCTGCTGGATAAAACTTAAAAAGAACCAAATAAATGGAGAGATATGCAATCTTCACAGATCAGAAGACATATTCCCTAAACTCATCTACAGATTCAATACAATTCCTATCAAAATTCCCACTGCCAATTTTGAAGAATTAACAATCATTATGGAAATAAAAGGGCCCAAATAAACTTGAGAATGAACATAGAAAAGTTATGTTTCTCAATTTCAAAACATACTACAAAAAGCTACCACACAGGGTGATACTGGCATAAAGATAAATATATCATTTAAATAGAATAAAATTAAAATCATAGAAATGAGCTTTTACTTCTTTAACTTCAGGAAGCTAAGTTAGGTTCCAAAATGTTCAGCTGGTGATAGGACAAGTAAATAACCTAATGTACAAAAGTTATAAACTCCTAAATCACACCCTAAACAAAAATTAACTCAAAATAGATTACCAATCTAAACATTAGGACTAAAACTATTTAAAGGAAAACTTATGAGTAAATCTTCATGGTGCTGGACTAGTCAATGGTTTCTTAAATATAATGCCTCAAAACACAAAGTGATAAAATTTGATAATTAGGACTTAAGATTTAATTTTTTTCCTCTTCAAACTACATGTAAAGAAACTGAAAATATAACTCACAGAGTGGGAGAAAATATTTCCAAATCATAAAACAATGACCTATATCCATAACATATAAAGATATCTTAAAACTCAATAACAAAAAATAGGAAAAGAATTTGAATAGACATTATCCAAAGATAGGCGAGTGGCCATTAAGCAGATGAAGAGATGCCCAACATCATTAGGCGTTAGGCAAATACAAATCTAAACCACAGTGAGGTACCTGCTAGGATGGCTAAGACAGAAAAGAAGTTGTTGAGAAGAATGTGAAAAAACTGGAGGCCTCATATATTGTTGATGGAAATGTAAAGTGGTACAGTCACTTGAGAAATAGTTCAGTTTCTTTCCTGGGATAAACTTGATGTGGACATGACTTTTGTTTATTTGTTTTGTAATACTGGGGATTGAAACTAGGGCTTTGGCACTTTACCTTTTAAAAACAGAATCTGTCTAAATTACCCAGATTAATCTTGAATTTGTGATCCTCCTGCCCCAGCCTCCCAGAGTGCGAAGGTTACAGGTGTGTATTACCATGTCCAGCTGACATGATAGTTTTTTAAAAAATATACTATTGGTTTGGTTTGCTCCTATTTCCTTAGTATTTCATATACATGATTCCCATGGGTGAAATTAAATTATTATTTTTAAAATTTATACAACCTCCATAAAATGAATTCAGAAGAGTTCTACTCTTCTTGTTCTTCAAAACAATCTATATAAGATAGAGATTATCTGTTCCATGTAATTAGGGAATAACTCATTTACTATAGGTCTGATGAATGTGAAGGATTGTGTATGTGGAGATATTTGGCTTTTAATTCAATCTCTTTAATGGCTATAAATCTATTTAGATTTTGAATACTTCCTCCAGTGAAATTTTCCTGTTTTCAAATTAACTGTAATAACCTATTAATATCATTTTAATATGTGTGTTCTACAAAACTGTACCTCCTTTTTATTCTAATATTGTTTTATCTGTGCCTTCTCTATTTTCACTTGCTCAATCCTAGCGGGCTTTGCTCATCTTGTCAAAGAGGAGCTTTTGGTTCGCTTGGTTACCTCTATTGCTTGTTTCTTTTTTTAAAATGTCCTTTGAAAAATCTACTGTAGATGCAAAACAGTACATATAGCATATGTGTTTTAATTAATAATAAAATCAGCACTACAGTGCTCACTTTCAGGGTAAAACAAACTGGAACATTACTACTATTTGAAGTCCCTGTATATTAAAGTCTCACTTTCTATTCCTATTTCCTTCTTTCTCTCAAATCCCAAAACCCAGATGACCACTAATGGCTGATTTTTGTCTTATGCATTTATTTCTCTGCCTCTGCTTAAATTTATCCCATGTATCTGTTCCCCTAAACAAGGTACAGTTTTATTTTACCAAATTTTATCTTTTAAATCTATGCAGTTATATGCAACTTGCATGCAACTTGCCTTCTTCACTCAAAATTATATTTGTGAAATTTTTCACAAAGAATGTGCAGAAATTATGTATTCATTTGTTGCTGTATAGTACATTTTTGGAGATAATATACAGTAAGTTGATTAATATAATTTGAGTTATGTTATGCTTCTTGAAACAAAAGGATACTTAGAATTATAAATTATAAATTGGATATCATTTTTGTGTAGGTTATATATATTACTGAAAATAAAGTGAAAAATATAAAGGCACCATTATATTAACAAAATGAACTAATGTCTTTAAAGGCATCTTAAAAACCACTTCTTTACAGAAGACCACCAAATAAAAATGCAACATACAGGAAAGTTGATTTTCAAAAGATTTTTCAAATTGAGTTGTAAGAGAATCCCTTTTTATCCCTGCATGGTAGCACATGGCTATAATTCCAGCTACTCAGGAGGCTGAGGCAGAAGGATCACAAGTTTGAGGCCATCTTGAACAACATATTGAGAACCTGTCTCAAAATAAATTTTTTTAAAGGAAATAGCATGCTCTAGGGCTTGGGTTCAATCCCCAGCCCTGAAGAGAGAGAGAGAGAGAGAGAGAGAGAGAGAGAGAGAGAGAGACAGAGAGAGAGAGAGAGAGAGAGAGATTCCTTTTAAAGAAGGACCCGAATTAATAAAACCTAAATAATATCTGATTTGTAAAACCTAAAGTTACAAGTAACTTTAAGTTAAATTGGTTTTAAAAACTGATAACAAAGAATTTCCTGCTGAAGCCTGGGAAAAATGAATTGTTTTCTTTTATTTTTCAGTACTACACACATTTTTTTAATAGTGTTCTGGCAATATTAGAGAAATCATTGAGTCCTGATAGAAAGATCTAATGCCAAAAGGAGAATGAAAATGATCTGCAATTGTCTCATTTTTCTGTTGCTCAATTTGATGAACTAAGTCCACAAAGAAGACATTCTAAATGACATCTTCCTTCATATAGAAGAAAAAAAAGCTAAAGAATGGAGTGGGTGGGACTCAACCTTAGAGTGTTTGTCTAGCATGCACAAGGTCCTGAGTCTAGTCCCCGGCACTGCAAAGGAGGAAAAACATGGACACGCATAAAGTGCCTGAAATATAAAGGGTATGCTCTTGACTAGGAACAAAGATATGGAGTTTTAAACTTCTCTTCTCTCATGGACATTTACCTTTTACAAAATGGAAACACTACCTTTCAAATTCTTAGCACTTCAAAGATAGTAAGATTTGCCTCTCTACGTTATCAGTACCAGATGAACATGATAATTTTTTCTATCCAAGCTCATTGTACACTCAAAAAACAATAGCCTTCTGGCACACAAATAACAGACTCACTGAGAGAGAAATTAGGGAAACAGTGCCTTTTACAAGAGCATCCAAAAAATGAAATATCTAAGAGTCAATCTAACAAAGGAAGCAAAAGACCTCTACAATGAAAACTACAGCATTCTGAGAAAAGAGATTGAATAGAATATAAGAAAATGGAAAAACATCCCTTGCTCCTGAGTAGGAAGAATCAATATAGTGAAAATGGCCATACTTCCAAAACTGCCATATAGATTCAATGCAATGCCGATTGAAATTCCAACAATATATTTCACAGAACTAGAGAAAACAATCCAAAAATTCATTTGGAACCAGAAGAGACCTAGAAGAGTGAAAGTAATTTTAGGCAACAGATACATGGCAGGAGGTATCACAATCCCCAACTTGAAACTATACTGCAAAGCTACTGTGATAAAAACAGCATGGAACTGGCAAAGAAACAGACCTGAGGATCAGTGGACTAGATTAAAAGATCCAGAAACAACTTCAGACATACTCAGCCACTACATCTTTGACAAAGGAGCTAACCACCCTCATTGGAGGAAAGATAGCCTATTTAATAAAAAAAAATCAGACCCCCCCCAACTTTAAAGACCCAATTCAAAAATGGACATCTGAAATGACCAGCTATTTCTCAGACAAAGAAGTAAAAACAGCAAATAAAGAAATGAAAAACTTTTCAACATCACTGGTCATTCAAGAGATGCAGATGAAAAGAACACTGAGATTGCACCTCACCCCAGAAAGAATGGCTGCTATCAAGAAATCAACTAACAACAAATGCTGGCGGGGTTGTGGGGAGAAAGCAACCCTTCTCCATTGTTGGTGGGAGTGTAGACTGGTGCAACTACTGTGGAAATCAGTATGGAGATACCTCAAAGAACTAAGACTAGAGGTCCCATTTGACCCAGCTATTACCCGCTGGGTAACTTCCCCAAAGAATTAAAAGAATCATACCACAGTGATATATGTGCACCCATGTTTATAGTGGCACAGTTTGTAATACCAAAAGCTTGGAAACAGCCCAGGTGCCCATCAACTGGAAACTGGATAAAGATGTAGTTTTTTAATAAAAAGGAGTACTACTCAGCCATAAAGAATGAGAAACTAGACACATTTATAGCTAAATGGATGCATATTGAGGCCATACTCTTAAGTGAAATAAATAGGACACACATGTGTAAATACCGAATAGTTTCTCTGCTGTGAGAAACTGAAAGTGTAAATAAGGATTAAAAGGATTAAAATGAATAATTGATCATTTGAAATAGGAAGAAAAGGTCCAAAGGGATAGGGGAAGTGGGAGAGGAAGGGGAAAAGAAGGAAGGGAATGGAAAAAACAAAGTCTTTGTAAATAGGGAAGGGTGGAGGGCATGAAGGAAGTACAGGGAATGGGGAAAAAATAAGAACAAAGATACATCATGTACAGGTACAAGTACCCAATGATAAATGTAAATGTACTGTATTCCTAAAATGTACCAATAAAAGAATTTAAGAGAAAAAAAAACAGATGAGAATGCTGGTTAACTGGATAGCATGAGTAAGTACACGTCACCACAGATGGCATATATGGATTACAACAGGAAGGAAAATGTGTATGAGCTTACATTCCTTGCTTTTCAGAGGTTGCTTCTGAATCTAGCTACATCTCAGTATGAACATCAACAATCTTCTTCTTAAAAGGTAACAATGCCTCAATGTAAATATATACTAAAACTGACTTTCTTGAGGTGCTGGCTTTATAATCAACTACTTCTCAGTTCCTTCCTTTGTCTTAATCTTTGTTTCACTAATATAAAAGTTAATATAAATGGTTATATTCTCTTCTATTTTTTTTTAAAAAACCAAGAGCATGTCAAATGTTACCAAGAACAATAACAAAAAGAAACTCTGTCAGGTAAAGGAGTCACATTATTGTCATTAACTAATGTTATAAATGCTGAAAAGCTGATGTGCGCCCTTGTCAGCCGTAGTTAGAGATAGAGTTTACATACTCCAAGGGGCAATGGTACAGACTGGAGGAGGGGAGATCTGCCAAACATTGCTGTTTTAGCTCCTTTAGAAGAAACGCATTTTTAGGAACACAATAGACTGTGTCCAAGAACTTATCATTTATAACACACAATAGATAACAATTCCCAAGGTGGACTTGATAAGGAGAACAATGTTAAACATATATTTATGTTTACAAATGAGGATCTCATTTGTAACATGCAGAAGCAAACTGATTAATGCAAATTACTTTTTACCATCCCCTAGTAATGTTTATATCCAAGGGGAAAAAAGAAAAACTCTGACAGATACTTAAAACCTTTCAACAATCGTAAAACGGTCTGATGTATTTCTTTTCTAGTTTCTTTCCTTTGTGTGTTTAGTAGAAAACGTAGTCAGTGGCAGTTTAGAGGGTAGGTGAGGAAAAGGAAAGAAGTAGGAAAAGTGGGAATTGGGGAGATTCCTCAACCTCCTGTCAGCTCAGTGAAAAGCTAAGGTGTTAAGTCACAGATTCGCATTAAAGCCTTGCTTTGAAAACCTGTCTCCTTGGGAGAAGCAGTTACTTTTGAAGAGATTCATTACTCTGTACAAAATAAAAAGTGTTTCCACCATGCTGTGTCATTAATACACTGAAAAGCTGACAGCTGTCTGAGTCAGAAAGACAGACAGACATGAGAGGATCAATAGAGATCTTACTTTACCCACCCAGCACTTTTCAAAGTGTTTGTAAACTGGGGATTACGGATGAAAGAAATCACAGTTCTTTGTACATTCCCAGTATTCTACTCCCCAAGATCATATTCAATCTAAATGCCATGAAATTCATTTTTAAAAAATAATAGGCCAGAGTTGCTATGTTCTCGGTTTAGATGAACACAGCCCTTCTTTCCTTGACCTATGGCAAATCGCCCAGAACCTGGCGGGACCCTCCGTGTCTTCGGTCTGCCCTCCCCTCCAGCAAATTCGAGAAATCCGGGAACTTGGCCCCAGAAATGAAAATGCCTTTTTTCCCATCCCCTAATCCTTTCTCGAGAAAAACACCAAAAACACCAAATTCATGCTTTTAAATAGAAAGGCTGGAAATGTTTTCAGACATACCACAGAACACGTTTTAAAGAGTCATTTCATTAACTCAGATATTTTGTTGGAACAATCACAAGCGACACCCATGCGTGTATTGGCACAATTTCTTGTCTATAAATATATTTTAGATCACAGTTGCCAACCCAATATTCATAAGCGCCGATTTCAAGACAGCACAAAGCCTGCCCTACTTGGGGGCAAGGGAGCCCCAAGAGCTCCCTGAGAGCAAGTGGTCCGACTCCTCCCCATCTTCGCAGGAGGCCAAGTCTCGGTCCCTTGCTCCCAGGGGGCCACCCCATTAGGCCCTAGACTTCTCGGTAACTTTGCTGTCAGAATTCCCAATTTGGGGGTTCAAATCTCTTGGCTCCTAGAGGAATTGTCCCTGACATGCTTTCCAGGCTACCACTTGCTCAACCTCTGGATTTCGGAGCACAGAGGACCCCACCCAGGCTGAGCCCTGCGCTCTCACGGAGCTTCCCAAGGTCGGACTAAGCCAGACCCAGGGGCACCTGACCTCCCCGGCCCACCCAGCCAGGCTCCAGGATCACTGCACAGGCCCCAGTCTGCCCACCCTAGCTCCAGGCCCACGCCGCAGCCCGGATTCAGGCTCCTGACTCTTTGGGGAACAGGAAACCCGCTCCTGGGGGCTTCCCACGCGGGCACTCGGGGACACAGCCCCGGCCTCTCCACTCTCTGAGGTCCCCGTCCAAGGTCAAGCGAGAGTCGCCTGAGCCCCTTCTCAAGTCAGTTTTGCTCTCTCCAGGATGCCAATAACCGGTCCTGAATAACTGAACCTTCTTCTTTCCACTCCCCGCAGAGACCCGCAGGGATCATCCCGGGCGCTGCCCCGGACCCCGGAGAGGACCGAGAACCCCAGCCCCTGCCCACATGGGGCCGAGCTCCGCCCTGAATCCGAACACCGGAGTACAGCGCCCCGGACCAAAGGCCGAGCAGCTGGCAGGGTCCCCGGAGGACTCGCTTGCTCTCCCATCCCTCTGGACGCTCTGGGGGCCCGGCCGTGGTCCGTAGGACGGAGCTGAGGCGCGGAGGTCACTTTTCAGTCCGCCGGGTCCCCCACCGTCGCCCCTGCAAGACAAGGGCGCATCCTGCCCGGCCCCGGCTCACCCAGAGGCTCAGCAGCAGCGGCCCGCAGAGGGCTCCGCGCAGCGGGCTCCGGGGCCCGGCCTTGGCCATCGCGGCGGCGCGGCGGACAGCGAGGGCGCGGGCGCTCTTCTCGCCGCTGCTCGTCCTGAAGCTGCTTTGGGCCCTCTCGGGCTCGTCTGCCCGGGAGCGTGTTCTCTCCTGAAACCGGATTGAACCCAGGAGACGCCGAGCGGCCCCTCCTAGTTATTTCTCACGTTTTCTCGCCGCCGCCGGAGGAGCCCGGGAGCTGCCCGAGCCTGCCCCTCCGCTCCCGCGGCCCGGGACGCGCTCGGGACAGCGGTCCAGGCGCGCCCCGCCCGCCTCCCACGCCCCTCGCCCGCCCGCGGGGCTGCCCTCCCAGGCGTCCCGGCCCTGGCGCTGAGCCTCGCCTTCCCACTGCGCCAGCCCCGCTGGGGGCCAGGAACACCCTGGGGAGTGGATCCGCGGATCCTCCCTGGGACTCCGCAACAAATTCTCGGTGGTGTCTTCAGGTCGAAGCAAAATGCGTGTCTTCCGACCAACGTGATTAAACCACAGAAGGAAAATTAGCCCAGACGGCATCAATAAGCTGGCATTAGGTGTGTCCGAAATTAAAATCAAGCATAAGAAATTCTGATTTGACCATTTGTCCACATCCAGAATGGGTTTGATTATCCTAAGAGCTTTAATCGCCAGATTTTCTGGCTCCTAAGAACTTGTTCTTGCGTATAAAGTATTGGTCTATTATTTATGTGGTAAGATGAAATTTTTCAGTTTGTGGTTGAAGGAAAATCTACTGCACAAAATCCTCTATTCTAAAATAAGGCTGACAAAGTTGTCTTTCAGCATTTATAAAGTTCCAAAGTCTGCCAAACACTCCTGGAGGGCTGGAGGAAAGAAAATCCATACGCCCCCAGCCCGCCCCCCCCCCAATGTTTTCCTGCCCTAGGAGGGAAGAAAAGCTATCATCGTCGCAGCTATGGTCCTTTATAATAATTGGGGCATATTCCTAAACTGGATTTTACGTCTTCAAGTGTCCAAAGGCTGGATTCAGGCGGAAATCCCTCTCAGAAATATGTTGCTGCTCCTCAGAGTCCTGCAAAAGTTTGGAGATCAGAACCCTGGGGCGGTCCACAGTCACCAGGAAAGGCTGGGAAAGACCGTGTTCATCCCACCCTGGGCACCTCTGAAACAACCCTTGTCTAAGCCCAAAGCCTGGGCCTTCCCTGAAACTCCTGAGCCTTAGCTCTCAAGTCTCACACAGGAAGTACAGCTTCCTGGCCTCTTCTCTGAGGCCCCAGAAGTCTGTGTGGAAAGCAGAGAAAGCTTCCACTTCTTCTCTCTCTTTGTTTTCACCTAGCATCTGCAAACCTTTGGCCTTGCCCATGACCTCTGGGAAAGCCTCTCACGGTCTCCTCCAAGCCCAGGCAGTCTTTGGAAATGCAAGTGGAATAAGTTTTCTGAAGCAGAAGATGCCAACTCCAGTCTCCCTCCCTCCACCACTACGGATTCCCTGCTAGAGTGAAAGGCTGAAGAATTAAGGTGAAGAATCAGGCTTCAAAAAATGAAAAAATTCAAAGATGCTTGAGATAAGAACAGAGAAAAGGGGAAGGGTAGGAGAATGTTCCAGGCAAAGGCAGCACCCACAGGACAGGAGGAGCTAAGGAGAAACAGCGTCTGGAATCTAGGAGGCAGTTAGGAGTTGTTCCTTCAGAAGGCTGAGCAGAAGAATGCCTATGGCTGGGAATCAAGCTAGAAAGACAGGATCATGATGAATCATGCCCCGAGGGTTGGATTTCATCCTGGTAGAAGTGGAGAACAATTCATTCTATGTGTGAAAAGAAAGTTACTAACCTGGTCACTGTGGCACCCATTGAGAGGCTCAGGCAGAAGGACCGCAGGTTCCTGCTCAGTCCGGGCAACTTAGTGATTTAGCGAGACCATGTCTCAAAGCAATTAAAAATAAAATTAAATAAAATGGTCTGGAGGTGTAGCTAGATGTGATTGTGCTGGATTGGATCCTCATTGTGACAGGAGGAAAACAATGGCTACTAAATATTTTTACAAAATTATCACTTTTGGTGATTTCATAATGAATCTTTTTATGCCTTGATATGGCTTTCCCTTAATACCTATGTTACTAGTTTTTCTATGACTTCAACTTTATCTCCAGATAACCTAGAATTTGCCCTGATTATAACTATCTTCCAAGTGACTAAAACTATAAAAATGCTGTCCTTTGGTTGTTTCAGCTGTATTATGTAAAAGAGGATATTGTTAAACCTACTGACTATATGAAAATTTCTTTAAGTTTCCACTTTCATTTTCTACAAAATAGAACTTGTAATAATCTATTCCAGACATACTGTAACAAATATTTTTCAATTTGTATTGCAAAATTATAGATGTAATATGAATATTAAACAATAAGCAAATATAATATTAGTAACTATATTGGAATTTCCTGTTCTATTATAGCATATTAGTCTAAATCCTAATATAAAGTATGTTTACAATTTTTTAAAAATCTTTGAAGACAGTTACAGTGACAACATAGAAATGACTTGAAGATAAATTGCTTATGTGAATTACACTTTAAAATGAGTTTGTTGAAAACTTATTTAAAATAGGGGTTTGCATATAGTGACAACTGTATTCTATAATAAAATGAATTTTAAATCATCATGAGGCCTCTTAAAGCATAAAATCTCGTCTGACATGTCTTTATTTTAATATCCTATCACTCAAGCTGTAAAGTCGGTTGGAAGTCACTACTAAAAGAATAATGGATCAAAATGAGAAAGCAATTTACATTTCCCTTTGTTATGTTCTTAGTTTCAAAGGTAAGAGCAGCAAAATGAAGGATCAAAAACTGGAAGAGATTTTAGATGAAACATTTTCAGACAAAAGCAAACTTCAGAAAACTAAGGAGGGTCATCTCTGTGTTGACAGGAGGAATCTCCGGCCACAGAGAAGGTAACTTATCTGTGGAGCTGGGAGGTGGCCCTTGGCCCACTGAACCAGGACACCTTGCACAACTCAGTGCCAACAGGTGAACACACCCACTCTCCTCGGTGGCCTTCGTGGTCCATGATGGGGCAGCTAGTGTGGCTCTCCTTGAACACTTTTGGAAAACACTGACTGCCAGGACAACCCCATGATGTCTAAAACAAATGTGCTAGGAAAAAAGTAAAATATACAAAAAGAAGTTTACATTAAAACCAGATATAAGAGGGGTTTGAATAGTCCTTCTCATGATGCAAAACAAATTTCACTGGGGTCTGTTAGCTCACCAGCACTTTTGGAACATTATTTAGAATAAAAACTCACAGGATGACTAAATAAAATTCCCACAGGACTACTGAGAACACCTTGGACTTTCATCATTTCAAAAAACTACTGGAAGCTTGGAAAAATGGAACACTTAATTCAAGAGCAACCTATAAAGATTGTATTGCCGTCAGCACAAGAGCTTCTCTAAAGTCCCTATCTACCTTGTTCCTCTTCTGTCTTCCCATAGCAAGCACCTTCTTCCCAGCTGTAACTCTACCCCATGCAACTCTTCCTGGTAGCAAACACAACCTCAGCTCTAGACCCAAGTGATCCTGGCCTCTAGGGAGCATCTTCTCCCCACACCCCCAGGTCTCTTCACATCCGCTAGGATTAGCTTCTCCCCACAAAGATTGAGACTAGGACTATCCATTCTCATCCACAGGAAATGCTTCTATCTACAGAGGAGTGGCTTTCCACTACAAAGTTGGCAACAATCATACAAAAGTCTGCTCATTTCTCTAATTCCCAATTATCAGGCGGGTTTCCACTGCACAATGGTTACCACATTTGCCTCACACAGCTACTAGCCCTAAGTGGCACAGCCCAAGCTCAGGAAGTGCCTGCTCATTTCTTTTTATTAATTAATGAGTCAAGAACTGTTACAGTGGTTTTCCTCTTCCTCCACTGCAGTCTTCAGACTCCCTTACAAACACCCTGTTCTGCAGACACTCCTTTTAAGGAGGGAGGGACAGTGTTTCAGTGACTCCTCACTGGGCTGGAAGGAATGGTAATATCCACACAGGAAACAAGGCCCCATTGTGTGGGTGATAACTTCTTACAAAAACTGAGCAAAAGTGGTGAAACAAAGCCTTGATACAGAGTGAATCTTTATTTCCTCTCATTTGAGATTATCCCATAATTCTTCATTTAAGATTCCTTCACAGAGAGAAAAATCTCTCCCTACTGGGTGAGGCTCTGGTTTTTCCTGGACCTTCTCATGTCCCTGGGAGCACTCTGTGTCTGTCTGTCTGTCTTGTCTGCCTGTCTGTACAAAGGATGTTGCTTACGCACAAAGGTTACAGGTGTGAATGGGCTGATTGCCTCATCCCATGTGTCATTTATCCCAGCATCATTCCTTGATTCACTATCTCATCAGCCTTGCCCTTTCCCAGAATTTTAGGAGGACGATCCCTCACAACATCACCCTGAGGAGGCGGTACATTCTCCAAGGAGATGCTTGCCCTGTACACAGGAGTAGAGAGGTAGCTTTTCCTACCAGCTCCCTATGAGCAAGATATTGTTTAATTAAGCATTCATTCATTCATTCTAGTATTTTCCTCAGTAATAATTATTAACTAATTTTATTTACCTCAAGATTTACTAATTTCTATTTGCCTTTTCATCCTGCTCAGTTTCCCAAGCCCTTGTTACTAGATGCAAAGTATCTAGTAACTGAGAAGCCCAGTGCCACAATAATTACCTCTTTTCACGTGTTGTTTTCAAGTATCATACTTGTATTTGCCTTTCAGTCTTATATAAGCTACACTCCACCCTCACAGACAAGCACTAGTCTAAACTTGCAGACATCTGTGTAGGATTATACCAGATTCCCATTTCCCTAAACAACACTAATTCAGAGGTCCTACTCAAATATTAAAATAACCAAAGAGATAAATGTCTTGCTAGTGGGGGTGTGGATGTGCTCCAGAAAGGCTATTTTGTTCCCCTTCTCATCAGATTTCAGTGTTCTTGACATATTCAGTAAAAGTGGTTGCTTCTCCCAGTTTCCAAGTCTTGTTCCGATCATGAGTCAGGCAAAGTCTTGGACTTTACTACAATTCTTCTGTTTTAAAATGAGATCTTCTTGCTGGTCTATAGTCTCAGGTACCTGGAAGGCTGAGGCAGGAGGATTGTAGGTTCAAGGTCAGCCTGAGCTACATAGTGAGTTGAAGGTCCACATGGATGACATAGTAAGACCTTATTTCAAAAAACAAAATAATATAATATTAAATAAAAAATTAAAAATGAGATGGTGGCCAAAATCTTCTTTGCTAAGTCCCCA